ACGCGCCCAGTGCGTCAGCAGTGCCTCATCCGATTGAGGAAAAAGTTTGGGTTTTAAGTTATATGTGCATGGTAGAAGGAGTTCGGTTTAGTGCTTCTGCCAAACTATTGACGGCTAATTAGCCTGGGGATGATCTGGTGTGATATTCCCATCATTCCCTGAAACACCTGGACATCAAAATCCGAACCTCGTCCGGGCGGCGTTCAAGAGGCATAGTCGTCTTCCGGGATCCTGTGTAAGTGTACTGCAGCCCTTAATATTATACAGGGTACCCTGAAAGGGACCATGTCCTCGACAACCCCTCACCCGTGCTGAATGAAGGCAGCACGCGACCGTCGCCGGCGGCGTCGCTGCCGTTCTGGCTGCTGCCTTTACAAGTGAGAGAAGGAACAAAAGGGGCGTCACCAGAGGTGCAATGAGCAAGAGGCAGGATTGGGGATACCCTTCAGGGGGAATCGTTTTAAGAACCCTTCTGTCTTCCCGGACCTGGGCCTATTGACAGGGCATGCCCTAATCTCAACCTCCCAACAGGTCCTTCATTGAGTCTGCGCGACTCGAGCTGTACAAATCCGGAGCTCAACTAGAGCCTGGGAAGAGCTATAGTTTGGCCTGGGTCTTATAAGGGATTTAGATTATGAAGTCACTATCATGAGGAAACCCTATTTTCTATAGTTATACCCATACTATGGTAGTTAGCTTAAGTTCCCTAACAGCAACCCAGTTGCTTGCGTCATCTCTTCAGAACTTCCCGCTGAGCCTGATATGGTCGGTAACTATGCACCAAATACCGGGGTCACTTTCATAGGACTCTATGGAGATTTACGAGATCGTAAAAACGAGACCCCAGTTCTTCATAAGAATGTCATTCACGGGTTGATAATAGTCTCCTTTTAATTTTGAATCTAAGGAGGCCCGGCAAACCCAAACCGCAATGGTCCCAATACCATCCGAATCCATCTCATCCTCCAATTGCAACAGTTTTCCTTCCAGCACCTAAAAGCGGGTTTCCCAACATGACAGGCCACATGTAGGGCCCCTAGTATAACTGGGACAAGATTAGGGCCAAACATTCATGAAATTACACCCGAAGCATGTCCTTCACAATTCAGAACCCCAATCCTATAAGCCGGGCCCTAACTTCAGACTTCAAAGCTCTGAAGGAACTGGTGGTCAGCACCCAATGGAGGAATGGATCCCATGTTTAGTCCCCGCTGTCTAGATCTCATAGAACGGCCTCTTCCAGCTGCATTCCATACTAACCATCCAAAACCTTAAGCCTTGAAGAAAGTAGCAATGTATAGTAGTTTCCAGGTTCAGCTCCATTTCTCTCATTGCCTACTAGCCGCCACTGTAAGTATACAAAGGAGCGCGACCTAATTCCCTTCCTGCAGAAAGATGTCAGCAAGGCGCTGGGCGGAGTCAGGGTGACGCTTGTTACAACATGCTTTACCTATAAAAGTCTGATAAGTTGCAGGTAGCCCTGCCTATGTGACTAAGCATGTGTAATTACGTGTACATATGTATTTTCATTTATAGTTCCAAATATGCCCCCCGCCCTCCCCAGCAGAAGGGGTCATTTAGATTAGGAGGGGGGAAGTAGCGCGGCCATATACATATAGGCAACTGGAATGTCAGATGCCAAAAGCAGAGCCGCGTTTTAGCAGTCAGGATTCCAGGTTGTGAGACCTTCAATGCTTGTGAGTTGAACAGTTCCATGCGGCGGTGGGCTTAACCGCGCGGATTAGGGTTTAGGGGTTTTGGCTCCGCGTGAGAGTTCAAGATCCCAACACCCTCCGAAGGCTGTGTTGTGTTACTGCGCTATCTATGGCGAGATATCTCATTGTGACAAGTGTTTCCCAAAGCCTGATGCCACACCAGCTTTCCAAGTGCCAAAAGTCATTCTGAGCTGGTTTCAAAAGATCTTCGCCCTCAAGTTGTCAATCCCTACGCCTTAGGCCTTAGTCCTTGGGCCAAAAAAACGCCACAAACTCTTGTATCGTTGGCATTTTCTACAACGACAAATGCCCCTAAGGGTCCAAGGACTCAAATTAATGGGGATTTATGGCCCAAATGCTATAATCTGAATGGTATTTGGGACCGAAAGTCCTAATATTTGAGTCCTTGGACCCTCGAGCCATATATACCCCTTTTTAACCCCTATATAGCCCCTATATCCCCCTTTAAAGGGACCCCTGAGTCCTTGGACCCGTAGGGTTCCAATGTGAGCCAAGGAATGTCCCGAACAAACGGCGAGGACAATCGCAAGAATTGCTTGCCTCCGCGCGTTTGATCCTGAACCTAGGCAATTCCCAGTTTTTGCATTTCTTGGCGTTCCTAAGATATGATCTCAGGGTTCCGGCTAGTTGACTTAAGGGCCCATGAATCACATAGCTTGCGGGTCTTTTCTGTTTTTATACCGTGCAGTTGTTCAGGCTACGTCACCTCATTTTTTGGTCCCACACTCGGGCAGCAAGCTAGGTAATATTCGGTGGCTTCCATAAATCGGGAGCCCTAATCTACACATATCTAGACCCTAATTCATTTTCATTCTAATTATGGGGACTCCCAAAAAGGGGCCCCAATATCCAGAAAACAACCATCTCCCATTGCCTTATCAAGGAGCAAGATCGGCAAGGCTGATGTGTGCTTACACTACAGCCTCAAGAACATGCCTGCGGGGGCAGGCCATTTACCTTGGGATTGGGGCTTGCTGAAAGACGCTTATGTAGGTCTTTCTCGGTCAATATGTTCTTTCCGAAGATTCTGTCTGAACTTCGGGAGTTTTGTTCCGTCAAGTTCAGGTGGGGATAGGAATACCCTTTCTGCTCCGTCTTTTCACAGTGCCAGCACTTTGGCATTGCATACAAGCTTATGCAAGTGTATGACAAGCGTAGCTGTTATCCTTCAACTTGCGCTGCTTTGAACGGCATGACATTTCTGCTGGACGGATCATGCTGGAGAATGTCTCTAAAAGACTCGGTTGCTGCTACGGAACTTATTTCAAGTTACCATGATGATGACAATAAGAAAGACCTATATCAAACAATAGGGTTCCCTGATTAGGATAGCTCAATGAAATTCCTTACAGCAATCCAGATAGCAAATGTGGGTGAGATCCTTTCTCTGATTGCTGGTCCTCCCCAGAAGACAATAATCTTTCCAGCCAAGCCACACAAATCCCCACCCCTCGAAAGTCCACAACAAAAGACCTCCAAATCCACTATCGGGCCTGTCCTCCACAAGATTCCTGTAAGTCCCTTGGTGTTCCTCTGGTCCCACAACATGACCTAGCTATCCCCAAAGGTTCATATACTCCATCATGGTTTTGTTGCTACTAACAATTGTAGTACAGGTTTGGGAGAGGCATATGGTTATTGATTACTTGGAGCCCTAGCACAAGTAGCTTTGGAAATAGCGCTTATTTTCTATATGATCCTTTTATAAGTTACATACAAACCTAAACCCTAAACCCTTTACAAACCTATTTCTGTAGGTCCCCCAAACTTACCCTGGTTAGGGTTCAACAGCAACTTCTAAACCTAAGCATGATCTCAGCTGAAGTGGCCGGGAGCCAACTCAAAGATTCCGTGGCTCAGAGGAAACAAGGCCCCTCGGTTTAGGGTTTAGGGTTTAGGGATTAGGGTCTAGGGATTCGGGTTTAGGGATTCTAGTTTAAGATTAAAGCTTAGGTCTAGGTTTTAGAGCTTAGGGTTTCCTAGTTGGTGTATGACTTGCTCCTTTCTGTGATCAAGGCTCTAGGAAAAACCTTTCCCTCACGCCCCTACATCTCTTAATCCTGAGTTAAAGCACGTGCACGCCCTTCCTCTCTTTCACGACTCCACGTCACCCCTTTTCCCCAACATAGGTGCTTCACCCAGTGCCAAGCCTCTTCCATTATGTTTGATTCCCTTCTCGTTTTCCATGACAGGGCCGGTTCGTGAGTTCTTGCTCCAAGCTGCAGACATTGGCGTGCAGGCGGTTCTTCTTGTCTCAGGCACTGGCAACAAACCGAAGAAAGATCCCTGACGCACTTAGCAGATACGCTGTAAAACTGTTGGGCTCATGCACATAGTCAAGCTCCGCATGTTTTGCCCAGAGCCTGCAACCGGGATGCCCTGTTCAGCAAACGCTGCTCAGATGTAATTTGGGCACAACCCATTCTACAAGAAAGCTGCGACAACATCATCCTTCATCAGGAGCCTACTGCACTACCGCGTTGTTACGCATGCGTTTGCTCATGAGTTACAACCTCAAACGCAATAAAGACTATACATTACACAAATTCCTTGTCGTAAATGTCCCCGGAAGCGACCCCTACTTGTCGGAAATCATAAAAATAAGTTCCCACAGGTATAATCATAACCCTAAAATATCACCTATATGGTAGTTTCCCGAAATAGGGGGACCCCAATATACACCCCAAAATACTATAGTCCTTATTTTGGGGACCCCTAAAATGGTACCCCTAATTTTGGGAAACCCCCATGTTTTTTAACCCTTGTGACTTTCTAAGAACCTGTCAAATTGTTCAAAGGCCTCCCCAGGACAAACCCTGCACTTGATCTCAACCCTTCCAGAAAGGGGTTTAGGGTTTTAGGGTTTTAGGGTTTAGGGGTATTAAATCCCTGTTCTTGCCACAGAATGGTTCATAAAAGCCAGACACACGAGTGTTTCAAACTTTCGCGTTATGAGGGCTTTGGGGGAAGTAAGGATGCAGTGCGTTGTCTGCAAGAGCTGGCCGAAGATGTCAGCGAGAGCCAGTTTCGACTACCTCGCTTGGGTGTCTAGGAGAAAGTGGTTCCCGCTGAGAAGGATGATTATATTCTGGGAAAATTGGGAGCATCCAAATTTTCGGACATCGCCATTCAACAACAAAACTCAAGTATTCTTGTGATCTGATTGTACATAGAATGTCCTGCACACGAAAAGAGAAAAGCCCAGCCGAAGTGTCAGGTTTCTGTATGTGGTTAGGCTTCCTCACCGTGGGTCCCTTATATAAGATGTGGCCAAAGGCAAGTCATCCCTGCTTCTGGATCCCAGGTGTCGCGTTTAGTCCGTTTGAAGATCCTGCAGTGGAACAGGCGCGGCTGAAGGACAGGCACAGCATAGCTGGCTAACACTTTAAGGTTCATGGGTGCTTCTGAAATTTCCCCTAAGGGTCCAAGTACCTAACAATCATATACTTACCCAAAACCTGTACTATAATTACTATTACCCAAAACCCAAGTACCTAATTATTGGGTATATGGACCGTTAGGGTTCCTTATTTGCAAGTAATTTGTCATTCTTTTGTCCAAGCCAGGGGGCCGGCCCTAGCCCTCCAAACGCAGGAACCTTGATATGGAAGCTTACCACGACTTTGTACACACCCAACACTCTAAACATCTTCGAACCTTGCGCACTCCAACAACCGCATCCCGAATGCTCATCTGTCTCTGGAGGACAAGCTGTCCACTGGTCTTGTGCAAGAAATCTGGCTGCAGATCGGTTCCGATCTCGCTGCGTTGCGAACTGGCCTAGAATTCTTGAAGAGCCTGGGCCACATAGTTAAGGTGCTGGAAAGGTCGTCCTAGACTTTAGGTTTAGAGGTTGAATTAGGGCCTTAGATTCCCATGAGTACTATTCTTGGCACATTGCTAGGACCTTAGACCCTTAACTTTTGGGTTTCCCCTCTACTCCTATTACAGGTACCGTAAAAGGTAACTTGTAGTAGAGATGTTAAGTGCCATGTTGTATTTAAGACCAGAGAAGAGCAGAGCAAGGTTTGAAACGGATTTAGGGTTTAGGTGCGTTTTGTGCTCAAAGTCTCACACCCGCAGCCCTAAACCGCCCGACTCGATTCATTCGAGAATGAAAAGATCCAGGCAGGTTATCTTTGAAATCTTCGTACTCCGCTTGCCTAATGTTAAAAGAACGTCCCCTAATATCAATCATACCCAAAATATGTCACTATACCTCAGTTTTAATATATGATATTAGAGGGGAGGGGGGGTTCAATATTCAGGGTGGGAATTCCAACAGCCCAGGACCTCCGCGCCCGATGTTGCAATCTACGGCTCTGTGTTCGTTCCGTCAGAGCAACTGTTGAGAAGGAGCTGACTACCAAACCTCGGAGGGTTGAACTACCCAATAATTGGGTCCCTTTTAAGGGGATATTAAGGGGTTTAGGGTTGAAGGTCCAAGTACCCATTAGGTTAAGTAGGTACTTGGAATTTGGGTAGTAGTAGTTGTAGTACGGGTTTTGGGTGCACGTATTAGGTACTTGGAACACTGCATATGAGTGCTTCTAAATGACTAGGGGTCACCTTCCGAATTCCCTATCCAAGGACTTCATAGCCCAGAACCTTAACCCTAAAAACCCTATCTGGCGTGTCGAGACTTGTGATATGTATTCATGCAACAATCGCCGGCAAGCCGCGCAGCACGGGCCTATAGTCCCCCTTTAAGCAGATAGAATATGGAATTGACCCATATCATAATAAGAACTCCATATACCCCACATTCTGTCTATCCAAGGGGGGCTATAATCAGTGTTGGTGGCTGATAGAAGCTCGGAAAGGCGGGTCTGCTCGAGCACAGAATCCCTGTTCAGGTTTCGCGAGCGTCCTTGGCAAGGTGTTGATCTCACTCCGAACAATTATCTCGAGTCGCTCCAGAATGCAGATCCATGGCCAATAGCGCTTGACCACAAGTCTGATAATAGTTGCGAGCACGAGAGTGATCACCATAATTTCAAGAATAAGTACAAACTCAAACAAAAAAGAGTGATGTATGTTGGAAGTTGCCAAAGAATGCTGAACAGACTTTGGTTCAGGAAAAAAGGTCTCACTCCCCAAACTGAGGGACTCATGCGACATGTTGTGTTCCAGCCCCTGCCCCCGTGCAAACAGCAGAACCTCTACATCGCCCAAACCCTTAATGCTAAACCCATCTCAGGAAGCAGTGACCAAGCAGATCTTGCAGCTATATTCGGAATTCGGTGTGCTGCCTCTCGTGGAAAGTCCCGTGGAGAGTCCTTCTGTTCTGCGGAACATGGTATCCATGCTCCAAGAGCGCACTGGCAACGCTCAAGCAGACCAGAATCTTACTTGTTGATAGGGTTGTTAGGTTGCAACATCCTTGTTTTTTCAGGGGTATTGGCAGAGACCTTTTGCACAACACTTCGCAGTTTAACCTCATGGTGTCTTGACAAGACAGGAAAACTTCCCCAGAATCCGAGTCACCTGCTGCAGCCGGTGCGCTTGGCCATGCAGGACCCCGGTGTGTTTTGTGTACTTACTTCCCAGTGTGACAGTCATACGCCAGACTCCAACATAGTGTGCTAGAGAATTAGATCTTGTTTGCTTCGGGGTGCGGTTGCAGCATTTAGACAGGGTATCCAGGTGAGTTCCAGACTGGCCCCGGTTGTATACAAGGGTGTACAACAAGTTGCCACACCTGCAGAAGTGGGTTGATAGCCACCCGGATTAGGGTCTAGGCTTTAGGGTTTTCCGCGATGAGTTCCTACTATCTCTGGCATCCGAATGCCAGCCCTATTTTTTCAATCTGAAGCCCCAAAAGGCTTGAGCCTGTACTTGGGAGTCAATGGGTGGCAATAGGCGTCGTCATAACTGGACTACCTTGAAATGAAGATTGTACATGAAGTTGTCTTTCTCATGGCCCCACTTTGAAACCATCCATGAACCTGCAAGTAGACTTTATGTCTCAGTGCTTGCAAGCAGGCTTTGAAGCCTAGACCGGGCAAAAAACCTTCAGTCTGATTCCCGACCTGTGTCCCACCGCCCCACTGAAGATTAGCCTGGAAAATGAGAAGTAAGCTATTAGTACCACATGTTGGAAGGAGGCGGCTTGAGATGTAAAACTTAAACGTCCAAACCCTAGAAGTTTTAGGGTTTGTTTGCGGGAGGGTGGGTGGGTGAGTGAGGTTTTGGGTTTAGGGCATTGGGCATCCATGGTTCAGCCGGCCATAGTGTACGAGAGTGTCTCAAAAAACGGCTATTCATGATACTTACTTCGTGACTCCATAATTCCTTTGAAACCCCCCCAGATATCCCTAAAGTCCCCTACTGAGAGGTTCATGAGTATTGACAACCTACTTTGTAACTACAGGTGTGCTTACGGCCAAACTGCAATCAAATTCAGGGACTTAGAGGGCGCATACTTGGGTTGAAAGTACAGCTATATTTCATATAGAAGTACTTAAACCTCAAAAGGATGTAAAATAAAAGCCCTAAACCCATAACAACCGCCAAAAGGCCATTATTTGACATACTTTTGGGGTCCAGGTACCTAGGTCTCCAAGCAGAGCATCTTAACAAAGATGTGCCTTAAACCCTAGCCTAGCCCAAAACCTTGCGTAATGAACCCTGAGCCCAAAACCATACCCCTAAACCCTATTTGGGAGGTTTAGGGTTCAGGCTTAAACCCTAAATCCCACCCCTCAGCCCTGAACCCTTAACAGTTAGAGGAGGTCCGGAGGCCAAATCCGGGTTGGCTCTCATGTGGTTTCGTGTGGATCTGCAGCTGGGATCCCAAGGAATAACGTAGAAAGCGAGAATGATTCGGCATTGTAACTCTTGAAACGAGCGCGTCTATCCAGAAAAGCCGGTGCTCCCAAACCCTATGCTTCGTGCTTGCCTAGCCTAATAATAGTTCAGGGTCAGGAACTCCTGATGCCCACCTTGCAAGATGTTGGCCTTTGCTCCTCAGGTATGATCCCTCCCCCTAATATTAAGCCCCCCCACCCCCCTAACATTGGATATTCTCCATTGTGATAAATTATAATATAATAGGAATATTTCATATTAGGGGGGCTGGGGGGGTTTTATATTAGGGGGAGGGCGGTATGCCCTTAAATTATGTTGGCAAGGAACCAGCATTAGGCTGTTCCAGGACCTTGGTGCGCAATTGAAGCTAATTACCCAGACCCCCTAAAGGATCCCAAAACTGGAACCCACCAAGATGAACCCCCGTTACTACATTTCCACGGGTGCTATGCCGCTATGCGCACGTTTCATGTTTTTCCGCGAATCATCGTGCCAATCGCATTTCAAAACTGGAAGAAACGGCATTAGCTATGGAACTTGTGCAATTCACAGCTGCAGAGTTTCGTGAAAGTGGAAATACGCAGGTTTCATTGCTTTCCGCATTTCATCGCGCCATCGCATTTGAAAACTGGAAGAAATGACGTTAGCAACGGAACTTGTGCAATGCACGGCTGAAAAGATTTGTGAGCGTGGAAATGCACTCGTTTCATATTTTTCTGCGCTTCATCGTGCCGATCGCATTTCAAAACTGGAAGGAGCGACGGTGCCTGCTTGGGCATTGCACGGACAGAGCACTGGGGAAACGATTTATTGGGAGGCTCCATTTTTCTTGGATTCTTAAGGGGTCTGGGTAAGCTTCTTCGTATGCAACAGGAAGCACAAAGGAGGGTGACTTTCGCTTGGGTTGGGGCATTGTTTAGAATTCTTGTCGCCTTATTGTCCTTCACCTCACTGGGACATGACCTAAATGCCGGTTGCAAGCCGACGGATCATGACCCAAAGTGCCTTGACCCAGACATTCCAAAAAGCTTTGTTAATTATCCCAAACCCTAAGGGTCCAAGTACCTAATAATCCTATACTTACCCAAAACCTGTACCAAAATTACTATTACCCAAATCCCAAGTACCTAATTATTGGGTACATGGACCCTTAGGGAAACCCATGTCTGGAGCCTAGGCGATTGCATGACAATCCTGCCTTAACAGCCGCAGCGCAGCATCCGGAGACTGGGCCGAAGAAGCACCGGGGCTTAGGGAAGGTCTTAGAAGAAGCCTGAATCGTTACCGGCATCATTGCGGCATCATCCCCGAAATACACCTCCCACGAACTCTGTTCTAGTGTTACTAGACTCTAGACTCCTCGTAAGAAATCCCAGCTGTTGATAACACATCCGACGCTACCCCAAACAATACAGGAAATGTTACCATGTGATTCGTGTCGTGTTTATCCTTCCGGCAGAAGTGATTACTAGTCATGCCAAGCGGCAGAGGGGGTGCAGGCATCTATTGGGGTTCTGCAGGCTCTTACGCCAAGTTTCTTGGACTTCCATCTGGGGTACACAGCAGAACTTCAAGTGAACCTGAGCATTGTGACGTCTGATTGAAATTTCGCAGTGGCAGCATCCTCTCGATTGCACGTTAACGGGCCTAGGGGTCGGGCAAGAGCTGCCCGCATTGCAGAAGCTCCAGCACTGCGAGTAAACCTCAGCCCCGGGAATGGCTTGTGCCCAAACCTTCAGGGCCCGGCCAAAAGCTGCCATAATAATGCTGTCAGCTGAAGCGCATCCCTGTTTGTCCATTCTGTTCATGGCTGCCCTGACATCCGGGACCGAGCCACCACACTTCGAGTTTTGTCACGACCTGCAGCGCCGGCTGCTTCGGATGTGGACTCCTCCTGGAGCCACCTCCTAGCCCGTTTCTTTTTGGTTTTCCTCCTTCAACCCAAGATGCCCCCAAAAGTAGGAAGACCCCAACCCAAACCTCCAAACCCTAGACCTTAAGTTAGAGCACCCTCAGTCCTGGGTCTCAGGAGCTGCTCCCAGTCTATATCGCTTCCGAGGATGCAGGTGGAGCCGCTCAAGCACCTGGGCCTTTTGTCGTTTCACAGGGTGTCAGTTCAGGGTGATGATTTTTTTTGGTTTAAGGCTGAAGGAGCATCTAGATTGTGAGGAGTAGGGTTTAGGATTTCAGGGTTGTGTTTGAAAACGGTGTCGGATTTTTCGGACCTTGCATTCAGACTCTTAACTGCATCCCTTCCACTTCACAGCCCTTCTGTGGAACCACATACAGGGCCCCTTCACGCAGGCTGCAGCCTTCTTTGGCTTCATTTTGGAGGTTCCAACTTAGTTGGAGGGTTTGAGGCCAAAGCCCCCGGGCCCAAACCTCTGCAAAACCAAAGGGACAAGTGAACGGTAAGATTGTAAGTAGGGCTCGAATTCCGTGAGTTGGTTTTTGACAGGACTTCGCTTCAAAATGCTGCTGGTTAGTACTTGTAGGTTCATGGACAATCACTGCAGCAGTAATACATGCGCAACCCACATAAGTGGACTCGGGTGGCTTTAAATTGGGATTTACATGCAGTTAGAAGAATGTTTTGGTCTCACTGAACCCTCCAAATAGGGAGTGGCAGGTACAATAGTCCTCCACAAACTACGCTGCCTTGATCTGTTATCTGTACCATCTCGCCCTTCAGTAAACAGCTTTGTACCCCATTCGGCAACTCCCGGCAATTCGAGAGCCAAACCCAATCCCAACCCTCTTCAATGGCATTACTGGGTTGCTGTTAAGGAACTTAAATTAAGTTACCATAATGGGTATATCTAGTAAATAATAGGGTTTCCCCAACATAGTAACTTAATTTAAATTCCTTAACAGCAACCCAGATAAGTATGGGTCACCAGCTGTGGCGAGGGGGGCATGTTGCCATTCATTGCCGGCGTGCTACAACCGAGGGTTTAGGGTTCAGGGGTTTGGAGTTTAGGAAGATAGGTATCATTACATAGGGTTATATGGGGGGGGGCCTAAAGGTTCTTTTGGGGAAATTATTTTGGTCTCCGGTAGGTCTAGAAGGGAAAATGTAGGGAAAATGATTGTCCATATGGCCTTGTTGGAAACAGGATTTTTCATCGACTACCATATCGGGTCATACAGGGTGTGTTGGGGGGGGGGGGGCTGCCTCAACTAGACCTCAAGAAGAAGATGATGATCATGATGATGGTAGTCATTAAGCCTCTTCATTACACAACCACGATGAAACTTTATGAAATCAAAGTTTCCATTTCATATTCCATGTTCGTTTGCACTCGATTCTCCGCTATTGGTAGCAACAATCCCAACTGCTCCCTGTAATCCCTCAACAACCCTTATGTAACCCATTACAATTCCCATGCAACCCCGAAGTGTTCTAAGCTCTAAACCTTAAACCTGAAACCCTAAAACCTAAGACCCTAAACCCTAATCCCCACCGGAAACCCCGAACCCTAAATCCCAAACCTTAAACCCTAAATCCTAAACCCTAAACCCTAAACCCTGAACCTTAAACCCTAAACC